AGATGTGGAAACTGAGTCCCAAAGAGGTTAGGAGATGTTCCCCAAGGTAACACAGCCAGTGAAAGAATGGGAAGAGAGTCCAGGTGGTTTGCTTTTCCAGTGTAGTGAGGGGAGTGAGAAGGAAAGAGGCAAACAGTGTGTCTCTGATCAGCACGTGGGTGGGAACTAACAGCACTGGCCCTGGAGCCAGACTGATGGCTTGATGCCCTGCTCAACCACTTACCCAGCCAGGTAAACTGAAGAACATAACCTTACTGCTGCAGTTTGCCATCTGTAAAATGAGGCTCATATTGTATCTACCTCATTAGGTTGTTGCGAGGATTACATGAATGGGTACAAAATGCTCAGAACAGTGCCTGCCACATGAGTGCCACACATATTAGGTATTATTATTTATAAAGATCAGGCTCTCTGCAGCTACTCAGTTAAGGAAAAATAAAGTTGTGAAAAGGTTGCTGGAAGCTTGAGGTCCTCCAGTCTGCCTTCTGCGGGGGTGAAGAGCACAGGCCTCACCTAGGGAGTGACTTGTCCAAGGCCCCGCAGCTCCTGCAGACTCTAGACCAAGTCCAGCTTCCTAAGCCCTTTCTCTATGATGACACGCCGCCTCCCTGCTTTTAGACCCAAGCATTTCATGATCCGATGTTCTTAGGACAGAGATGGCACAACAGGTGCCATCAAAAAGGTGGAAGCAAATCTAGGAAGAGATTTGGATGTCTTCTATCCTGAGCTAATGTCCAAGGGATGGTGAGCTTTCAGAACCTGCCAGGGAAATGATGGGGCGGGGGGGGGGGGGGGGGGGGGGGGGGGGGGGGGGGGGGGGGGGGGAGATGAAGGTATGGAGAAGCAGCAGACCTCCTTGTGGGAACTCAACACATCTGGCCCTGTCCTGGGCTTCGCCTGGGCCACCTGCACCCCAATATTACTGCATGGAAGGGTGCAGGCCTTAGGAGGCTGCCTGCTGGGGATGAGATCACCTCGTGGAGTAGCGTGTCTCTGTTGCTTAGGGTCTGGCACCACCTTGTGGCCACAAGTCAAAGTTGTCTTTGTGCAGGGGCTGGAGGCTTAGCAGAGGGAACTACCTGGACGGCCCCAGAGGTCACCTAGACCCACTCTAGTTTTTGCATATACCCTCAGTTGCCTCCTGGGGACCCAGAGACTCAAGGACAGAGGAGAAGGGTAGAGGGTCCAGAGGGTGGAATAGGTAGAGGGCACTTTATTGGGAAATCCTGAACTGGATTCTGTGATGCAGCTCCCATTTACAGGGGGTGAGGCTGTGTGAGTTGGTGTCTCAGGACTCATGATTTCCAGATTTGGTTTTGGACTTCATCCTGGTGCACTCAGGCTGCCAGCATCTGTTTGCTCATCAGCACAGTGGGAGAGGCTCTGGCTTTGCTCACTCCCACCCTTGTTTCTTCCCATCCCTTGCGATGCTCTCACAGAAGAAATTCAAGACTGGTGTCTCTGGCAGACATTCTAGCAGAGTCAGCATGTTCTGGGCTCATTGCCTTCCATTTCCATGGGCATGATGGGCACAGGGGCCTGTGGCTTGGGGAAAATGGAGTCGGGGGGACACATCAAGTGCACCTTTTGCTGTGGCAGGGCAGGACCTAGGTGGATCTGAGTGTTGGCCTGGGACCTGGATGACTAGGCTTGGCTCCTCCATATAATCATTCCTCCACCTTGTGAGGCTGAGAGAAGCAGAGTCTGTGGTCTGAGTGTACCCCTGAGGGAGTAAAATTTGTGATCTGGTCCCTGTGGGAGTCTGTGGCCTGTGGTATTGCGTGTTACAGCTGCCACATGTGGGTAGAGGTCAGATTTGGTAGAGCTCAGGCCACATCTGACCTGTGAGACCCAAGGCACCAAGGCTTCCCTGGGCACATGGCTGTTCTGGGTGCTATGTGGAGCTTCTGGACTCACAGCTCCGACCTTAACCAGTGCACCTTTGTCTTCCACTGCTCTGCCTTCCTGGGCCACCGTCAGATCTGACCAATTTGACTCTTCTCTCCACCCTTGATGCTCCTCAACACCTCCCAGACTACTTGTGACCATATCTCTTTACAGCGAGCCCTCCCCTGCCCCAATTTTTTTCCCCATGATTTTTCCCAGTTGGTCATCTCCTTCAGGCCCAAAATTGTGACACTGCTTTCCTCTCCTTTCTCTCTTTCTCTTTGCATTCCTTGACACATCTCTCTCTTTCTTTCTCTCTTTCTGTATTTCTTCTCTTGTGTGTATGTTTCTCTGTCTGTCTCTGTATCTCTCTGTGTCTCTCTGTCTTGCTCTGTGTCTCTTTGCCTCTGTATCTCTCTCTGTGTGTCTCCCTGTCTCATTCCTTGTCTCTTTGTCTCTCTCAGTGACCCTGTAACTTTACAACAATGTCCCTGTCTTTTTCCAAGCCTCACACTTCGTCCCTTGATTTTGGGAAAATGACTCATGGGTCATACCACAGATAGTAAGTGCCAGAACCTGTAACGGAACCAAAATTCAATGCTTCATTTCACTCGAGAGGCTCAGTTTTTCCCCTGAGGTAAATGACAATAACCAGACCTGTCCCATGAGGCACGGCAGAGGGACTCCAGCAGATGGCTGGCCGGGTGCACCTGCCCTTCCCCCTTCCCCCAGAGCCTTCCTGCCCTCGGTCTTTACCTCCAGGCTTCCCCACTTTAGTCTTCAGCAGGACTGTTGCTCTGCTCACTGTGGGGAGTGCATCTGGAGGGAAATAAGGTGTCCATCTCAGCTTCCCAGGGTGGGTCTCTTCAGAGGTACCGTCACCCAAAGGCTCTTAGGAATCAGAGAGGCAGACACACTATTACTCACCTGGTATGAGATGGGTACTCCTTGTTGCCAGGGTGTTTGTTGTAGGTCACACCAATGGTTCAGTGGGGGTGCTTTGTGTCCCAATGCACAGGCTAGGGGACCCTGGAACCTTTGTTCATTGAGGGGTCTAGTACATGGTTAATGCTCAGGAGGGAGACCCACCATTTTATAATTGGAGAGGAGCATCACTTTACAGTTTTAAACTATTTTATAAATGAATGCTGTCGCATCTTTGCTTCTAAAATGTGAGCTTCTGTAACGTGGGTACAAGGTCTTGTGCAATGCCACACTGCTTCCATTGCTCCGGGGAAATACAGAGCCCCTCTTAGTGACTGGCTTTATGAAGCTCTTCATGAATTTGCTGCAAATGTGGTCATGGTATCTGCTTTCATAGTATTGTGACAGTGTTGTCCCACCAGGATCCCTCAGCCTTGCAGGACAGGACTCTTCCTTCTACATCCATAGGCACTGAGGCGATGCTGTGAACAATACGCAAGCTCCCGTGCTCCAGGAGAGACAGAAAAGGCACGAGAAAGGAGTCGGAGAGAGTGGGAGGTGGGCTGGAAGGGCAGGCAGGGTTTCGTGAGCCATGCAAGGTTTTGGATCTTATTCTAAGCATTATGGGAAGCTGTGGGAGGGTTGGAAGAAGCGTGGGGATGACATGATTGCATTTATGATTTTTAAAAAGCACCTTGGCTGCCATGTGAAGAAAGGGTTGTTCTGGGGCAAGAGTGGACCCAAGGAGACCAGTTAGGGAGCTTTTGCTTCGATTCAGGCAAAGGGGTAATGGCAGAGACCAGGCTGGGGGTGGTGATAGGGACAGAAAGAAGGGACTGCCTGGTAGGTAGCCCCAAGTAAGTACCTGACAGTGCTTGAAGACAGTGAGGACTACAGAGTGTGTCAACCATGCTCTCTCGACCCCTCTGATTCAGGCTTGTGTTTTAGAGGGCACAGTGATATACATTCCTAAGGGACAGTCAGGTCACACATGTGCTTCTGTCCTGTTGGCTGTGGCCCTTGGTTTATGGTTCATGTTCTTGACCCTAACTGGGCCCACAAAGCCGTGCTTCCTGAACCTCACTCTCGCCCTGGCCCCACTGGCCTCTCTGGCCCAGGTTCAACCTCAGAGACCGCTGGCTGACTTAGATGTATCTCTAATCCTCCCCTTGACTGTGGTTTAGAGATGGCTTCCTAAAGTTCGGGTATAAGCGAGGCACGGGGGACACAAGATGTATGCCCACCACACATATTATCTCCCTGATCTCTCCACCAGCCCTGTGATGCTATGATTCTTTTCCCCATGTTAGAGAAGGGTAACAAGGTCACAGAGTTGGAGTAATTAGTCCAAGATCCCACAATTAACAAATGACAGAGTCCGCATTTGAATCCAGAGCTCATGCCTTCCTCCTACACGACTTTCTTTGCTGATGGAGCAGGGTCAGTACATCAGAGTGACTGTGTCCTATGTCACCCGTGGACAAAGGCTCCATTGCAGCCTCTTGTGGCTCCCTACTGTCTAGCTTAAGCTTTGGTGTCCGGCAATCTGGGGACAGCTTCTGTTTGGTCTGCCATCCAGCTATGGGAGCTATACAAGTGTGGTGCAGGGGTTCCCTGTGTGTCTTACATGGGAATTACATCTGCCTGTCACCTGGGACCCCGGCACCATGCGACCAGCCAGCCAGTGGTACTTAATAGGAGCCTCACAATGCTAACTCCCTTCCTTTACTCCCCCAGATAGGGGACAGGGCTGTGCAGTAGAGGTGAGTGTTGGAGTCTGCTGGAATGTTCCTCCTTGGGTCCTGGACGTGACAAAGGTCATGCGTCTTCTGAACTCACCTGTGATGCTTCACTGGCCAGCCGTGAGATCATCTGGTCCAGCTCTTTCATTTCTCTCTCTCTCTCTCTCTCTCTCTCTCTTTTTAGATGAGCAAACCAAAACCAGGAAGGGGAGAACTTGCTTAAGGCCCCTTCCCTGGCTTGCCCCATCCACCCCCAATTCCTTTATCCCAAAGCCTTAGCACCCTGTCTGTGGCCTGGAAAAAACCCTGGTCCAAGCATATGGAAAACTTCAGAGCAAAGGAGGGGACATCAACACAGGCAGGCCTTGGTTTTGGGCAGTGGCATGACCCTTCCACATTCCCTGCCCCCACCCACGCTCTCTGTGTTCTGTCCTATTCTCTCGGCAGGTATATCCGCACCATGTACCTGGGGATTCAGAGCCAGCGGCAGAAGGAACACCAGCGACGCTTCTACTGGGCTATGATGTATGAATATGCAGACGTCAACATGTTGCGCCTCCTTGAGACCTTCCTGGAGAGCGCCCCCCAACTGGTGCTACAGCTCTGCATAATGATCCAGAAGAACAGGGCCGAGACGCTGCCCTGTGAGTGTCCCACCCCCACCCCCCACCAGAGGTTGGGGGAATGACCTGGGCTGAGACAAGACCCTGCTCTCCATCTGGGGACCACCTGGTGACTGCCGCCTGCACACTCAGTGCCCGGCACGTCCTGTGGACATTGCCCGTCCTGATCACTGAGTCCCCATAATGCCCTGGCACCTGTGTGATGCTGACCCAGCCCACACCAAGAGCATGCAAGCGGCACAGATGTTCCCCATACACCCAAGTGCCTGCTGCTATACCTGCTCATGACTGTTATGTTCCTTCCCATAAACAGAGCAGAGCCAGGAGCTCAAGTGTCCCCAAGAGCAGCAGAACGGAGGGTTCTGGGTCTCCCCATCTGGGGGTAGTGCCCCCTTTTATTTGGTGCTGGCCTGAGCTGAAGGGTTTGCATATACACAAGATGAGGGAGATGGCATGTGACAGAAGACTAAATCACAATAGACAACACCAGCAGCCTTAGACACTTTTAAGCTGTGGTGCTATTGTTTCAAATCAAAGTTCATGTAGCAGCCATATTTTAAAACATGCTCAAATAGCTCTGCTCTAGTTAGATGGGGATGGGGGAATCCAGATCCAGGCACACCCCACCCATTGACCCCATCCCCCTTATGCCCACTGTGGCCCCAGATGGTCTCCAAGGAGCCCCAGAAGCCCCCAGAGCCCAGTGGGACAGTACTGGTCCGTATTAACAATGGGAAGTCTCTAGGCATCTCCTGGTTGCCTGAGAAGCCCTTCTGAGGTTAGACTTTGTTGGCCAAGCCAGAGTCTCACACCAGGTCATTGATGGTCAGACAGACTGCAAGCAGCATGGTTGTGTCTCAGAGCATGTTTCAGGGGGACTGTAGTGGCAGCAGGTCTAGGAGGAGGAGGGACCAATGATCACATCATGTGGGGGGCCCTGGGAATGTCTAGTTTGAGGAAGACTTGGGATGCATGAATCCCAACATTTGAAGGAATGTCACGGGGATGAATGGCCATCCCAAAAGGATGGAGGGAACTATAGGGAGAGTGTTATTGGTGCAACATGTGGCAGATATCTCAAATAGCAGGAGCCATTGGAAAGAATGTCTCAGCAGGTAGTGAGTTTTCTGACACTAGGAATATTCAAGCAGAAATGTTGTTGAGGAGACTCAGACAAGAGGTTCCTGACCCCAGAGGGTGTGTGCTTGTATGACCTGGGGTAGCAGGACAGCTGAGAGAGAGGGCTCTGCTCTCCATGTCCCACCTCTCCCTGGCCAGTGGGTTCTTACCTCTGGGTTCCACAGCTCTTCTAGGTGCTACAAGGCACCCACAGTGCCACCATGTTCATGAATATCTGCAGGGCACTCTCTGTTGGAAACCTCACCCCCTCCAGCCTTGCACCTTGTGGTCTGTCAAGAGCAGCTAGGCTCTGGCCTTCATGAAACAGCTTTGCCTCCTGACTTTTTCCAGACTGGCAGCCCTTTGCAATGTCCATCCCCCTGGACATTATGCAGAAAAGGAGTTTATTCTCCCAAGGCCAGACAGAGAACATTGAGCTGTTCAGGCTTGTGAACTCATTCCTGACATTAAGAGCCCAAAGACCTACTTCTGGGTGCAACTGCACTGCCAACAGACGCCTCCAACCCTGTGGGAGCTTGACTCCTCAGTGAAGCCTCCTGCCCACCCCCAAGCAGCACAGCCCCAGCTGGAGGTGCCTCCTCTGGAGGTAAAGAGGCTTCAGGGAAGATCCCTCTGTCCCAGAGAGCACTGGCTGTAGTCCTGTGAACCTCTCTCAGAGGCAAGGAGAAGGGTGGATGTGGGAAACTTTGGGGGCAAGGCCCACTGTTAGGAGGAGGCACCACCCAGCCCATGGGCATCAGCTGCTTGGACCCGGGGTCCAGTGGAGTTTGTAGCACCAGTGACCTGTCCTGGAGAAGAGCTGGAAGGAGCTAAATAAATGTCTAGCTCCACTGGGGCATCTGGACACTGAGCAGGAAGCCACGGTGAGGAAGGCAGGGCTGACAGTCCGTCTGGCCTGTCCCTTGTCTTTTGGATAGACTCCCATTTACATGCACACACACTGCCATTGGCATGGAAAAGCTAGGAAACATGGAGACCTAGTCTTCAGGGTGCCTGCAGAGCCAGGCCATCTGCTTGGGCAATGATCTGGTGTGACTGCCCACGCCAAGGCCCCGGGAGCCCCTGCTTCTCTGGACCTTGGAGAAAAGTGTGCATCATTTGGAGAGTGCCATTTGTTTCAGGACCAAGAGAACCAGTCAGGGGTTGGTTCTGGAAGAACACCAGTGTCACAGGGTCTGATACGCACAGTCTTGCTCTGCAAGCCTTGAGGGAGCCCTCATGGGACCCTGGGGATGGGCTGAGGTGTCCAGTGATAGTCACAGTGACCCTGCCTGCTCTCTGGAGCCTCCACACCCAGACTGCCCTCCGATTCATGGGCTATAACTCCCCAGATCAGGGCAAAGTGCTCCAGGAGGTAGATTTTCTGGGGGCCTGGAGAAGGCCTCTTTCTCTCCCATCCGAGTCCTTTTTGCAACCCTGTTGCTGTCTGAGACCCCCATCTAAACCGTCCTTTGCTGTTTCAGTTTTAGATCTCCTCCCAACTGTCCAGAATCACCAGGGCAGCCAAGTTATCCTTCTTGCACCCTTGGCCACATCCAGGCACCCCAAATAGATAGGACAGGTGGCAGGGTGATGGCGGGGGGTGAGCTCCTGATAGGACATTCATCCCAGTCCAGGATCCTGACACCACTTATACCCTGCTTGACTTTGGACCTTGCCCTTCACCTTATCAAGGACTCCTTTTCTGTTTGTATAATGAAGGAGATGACAGTACTACCTAATATTTAGGGAGGATGCAATAATGTAATGCATGTAGATCACTTTGTAAACTGTCAAGCTCTAAGGGCACCCAATGGTGTTTGTTTGTCACTTCCAGAGCCTGGTGGTGAGTGGCGTGGGTGAGATCCTAGGGAGATCCCCACCCCCACCCCTTTTGGGTCATCCCTGTCCCAGCCTCCTTGTTGAGACTCTCCTTTCTATGATAGTTGCTCATATTGTAAACAGAGAGAAGCTGAAGGTGAAATCCCTGGAGAAGAAACTCAAGTGGCAGCAGATGTTGCTCCCTAAGAGTCCTCTTGATGTGGGGCCAAGTCTGTGAAGGCCAAGGGGCTGCTCGGGTGTGCTGCTGCGAGCAGGGACCTTGGGAGAGGAGCTGGAGTGACGAGGGTTGGGCTGCTGTGGAGCTTTTGCCCTAGGGAAGCTCCTCCCTGGCTCTTTCTCCCACACACCCCTCTTTTAGAGCCAGGAGCTCCCTCAGAGTTTGGGCAAGCATTCCCCCACATTTGTCTGGTGTGTGGAATAGGTGTTTCTCCATACAAGTTTTCATGGTTAAATACATTTAGGAACTGCTGGGCTAAACACAGGTCAGTGGCAATCTTTGCTGCTGGAATGTGATTTCCCAAGGCAAGGATGGGGTCTGCAGCATTAGCTGGATAGATGAAAAGGAAGGAAACCTGCTCTCACTGAGCACAGACTGCAGAGGACTTGGCATTTGCCTCTTACTTAACTTGTAGAACATCTGCTCATCACTGGACCATTTTGTTTGGAAATAGGTGCCTTCTCTTTTCCCATAAAAAAAACTGTATGAAATGTTACACATATTAAAGAAAATCAGTTTAAATATTAGAAATGTGAGGAGGAGAAAGAAAGTCTGAGACCCTGGAAAGGGCATGGTGACTGGGATCTTCCAGCCATGTGACTGCTTGGAACATGGCAGCATAGAAAGATGTGGGTGACTCCCATTCTGATATTTGATAGCTGTTTGACTTTGGAGAGTTACTGAGCCTTTCTGTTCCTTAGCCTTCTTGTTTCTGAAATGGGGATAATATTAGTAGCTACCACAGAGAGTTGTTATGAACATTTGATGACATGGCCAATATCATGCCAGGTAAAACATCTGGACATTTTCTTGTTAGTGGTAGACTTTTTATTTTTTTTTTATTATAATTTTATTTATTTATTTATTTATTTTTTTAAATGTGCTTTGCTTTTCATTCTGTTCTTTTTTTTTTTTTTTTTTTACAAATAGTTTATTGTCAAATTAGTTTCTACATAACACTCAGTGCTCATCCCCAAAGTGCCCTCC